AACTCGGCCAACGACGGTCGCAGGAATGATGCTTTCGCTTCCCCCATTGAGACTTCAGAGGTTGCGAAAGGACAGCCGCTGAAATTGAGAATCGTGTGCACTGGTATCGATACCGCAGCCCACTGTCTGAATAATGGAACCTGTTATGAAATTTATATCGGCAATCGAAAGAGATACACATGTGAATGTGATGACGGCTATTTCGGTCTGCACTGTGAATACCCAGATACAGATGCAAGTGTAGTGAAAGCGTATATTAGCAAGATTGAGAATATAGGAATAGCTCTTTATGCTGTGGTCATACTGTTTGCTGTTATTCTATTGTGTTTGATTTTATATAAGTGCTGTAATCAGAAGAAACCAAATCTAGCCCAACTGAAACCGGATACTTCACTGGCAGATGTCTAATCTCGACTTAGTTCTTTTAACTCAAAATCATAGTCACGTACGTCGAGCTAAAAAGTTCCTGGCAAACTTTACTTATAGCTATTTAAATCCGATTATCTGTATTTCACTGTAACTGAGGAATCGTTGTCAAATAAATCTTTCAAAATTTTATTTGGCTGTGAAATGGAGCACAGGATGAGGCGATTATGCTGACAACGCGCACTGACTAAGAAATGACTGGAATCACCTCCATGGAAAAAACCTGATGCAGATTGGACAAAAGAATCAGCAGCTAGCCGCTCTGATGAATGGAAAAACGGAGCATTCTGATATCGCTTTCCACGCCTTCTACTTGACACATTCATCTAGTTCGACGACCTCATTTTTGCCGATTAGAAGAGAACAAACAAAAATAGCCAAGCATCAGTTAAAGAATTGTTACTCATGTCCACTAGCAAAATCCGATTGCGCAACAAATGCACAAGCTCGTTTCGTCTGAATGACAGGTGACATATCACCGACCAGCTTGTCGAAAAGAATTACTAAAGCAAATGTCATCATCACTCACAAGTTTGCATAGCACTTGTCATATCGAACTGTTATTTGTGTACTATAACCCTGATGCTGACGCTGGTGTGCACGTCAAAACGGGTCGG